CATATTGTAATATAAATATCGCGTGATAGTGATCAGTTGGGTTAACAATAAGGGGCTGTGGTGTCGGGGTGTGGTTGTATGTATTAACATTTAACTCGTGTTTTCTGCAGTAGGTAATCAAAATAAATGTACCTACATAAAAATGATTGGTTTAAAATGAACTAAGAAACAACTTTAACTATTTATTAATTTATTTATTATGGATTCCAACTCCAAATGGCACTAGGATACAGTATTAATAAATAGATAGGTATATAAAATAGTACTATGGTACAATAGGTAGTAACTAAAGAGTAAAATTACAACGACAAAATTAATAAAATATGATAAAGAATTAAATAATAAATCAGCAGTAGGCATATTATTTATAATACGAAAATTGCGATCTAAGGAGGATGCTTAGCCATAATTAGTGGGTGCTATGGAAATTACTTTTAATAACTGTTAAGTGATGTCTTGAGTTAAAAAAAACTGTAATGGCTCTTGCGATCTATATCTATATGTGTCACATTTGAATTCAATGATAAATCAAAAAATGATAATATTATAATAATATTATAAATAATATTTACTATCAAAGACTCAATGTTAAAAATCAGCCATCCCCAGGCTTCCCCTGGACCTTTCCTCAAAGGAACTAATTATTTCAAAATTTTTTGTTTGAGATACTTTGCAAGTGAATAATTTTATTACCCAAAGTATTTTGTTTTTAAAGATTTAGTTAAAATGAGTTCTACAAACATAAAAATCGAGTATTTGCAAAAACGCAAAGCTAATATTAAATTAGGTAGCGTTAATGAAAGTTGTCAATGAGCCAAGACAACAAAAACTTTGTTTTTAACTCAAAAGGTACCGGCCGTGTTGAGGTCGTTCACTGAAAATGTAAATCTTAATTTATCTATGAGTTATAATTGACAAACAGCAGTTTTAAATTGCAATTTACTTATACTTGTACCTATAGTAACTAAGTAGTGACACTGGTATAGTTGTTACAACTTAACAAGATAAGTCCTACCTACGTACCTAACATAATGTTTTCAAGATTTAGAGAATTATAGATATTATCATAAAATTTAATGATATTATAATATTTTCACTTATTTAACGTATTTTGGTAATAAAATATTTATAAATAGTAAGCCGAGCAAATAATATTATGTTTGTTTCATAACCGACTTATTCATATTTTATATTATAGTAAATACTAGCTATGCTGGCAACTGTAATTAATTTGTTAGTACAAAAAACCAACCTATTAAGTTTGTCTGTTATAATATAACAATTCTAATATACTCAAATAATCTGTACTTGCTTACATCATACAAATTTCAATTTTGTTCAAAAAACATTTAAGTTAGGTATATACGTCACATTTTTTACATTCGTGGATAATATTTATATTTTTCCGATTGCCGTTTTAATTTGTAATTTTTTAAAGTTTTCCAAAATTCTTTTTACCTTTCCTTATCCAAGTTTTCATAATACCGTTCTATATTATTAATTATTTATTTATTTATTTATTTATTTGAAATACACGCCCGTAGGCAATCAGTACAGAATAATTAAATGCTTAAGTTAGTTTGAACAAAAAACATACATAGATAAAACATTATAACATTACAATATTAACTTAATTAGTTAACACACTGGTTTTATAATTGGTTG